TTAAACTTTTTAATCAGAGAAGTAGTAAAACTTTTATTTGCTATTTGGACTCCTTCCTTAAAAGTGATGAAAAAGTGTGTTTTGCTGATAATGGTATAGCAGCAGTTGTAAGGTAGCCAAAGCCACGTTGTTTATTTACTGGTCTGTGGCCTTTTATATGCTTTGTATCAGAGTGCTTAACAAGATTAATAAATCACCCCAGTCTTAATTTTTTAAAGACTTTTAAAATATGTGTTTTCAGTATAAGGAACAAGGGGGGAGATTGTTCAGTTCTGTAGAAATATTTATATACACATTATTTTCAAAGGGTTATGTACAGCTTCAATTACATAATCCCAAAGCATTTAAGTGATGTAAATTTAGAGGATAACTGTCTTGACTTCTAAACGTAATTAGCAAGCTTCTAGTAATTTTTATGAATTCAGATGAAAAATTAGGAGCATGTTGGCAATTCTTAAGCAGGATTATAGCCATCCTTGGTAAAATGGATTTAAGGCCAATAACTACGGTGTGAGTTAATCTCCAATCAGGTAAAAACATTCTGAGGTTGACTTTGTTTTTTAAAGAGCAGATTATATTACTCTCTTTGTCTGGAAAAGTGATTTAAACCGCCTGTTCATTAAGCCAGACTTGTAATTTAGGGGAGTGAGACCATCCAGGATGCAGGGGAAGCTGGCAGCCCAGCGCTGGGCCACGCCCAGGTAACGCTGCCTTGCGGGCTTTGTGCCTTTGCTGGTAACGCGAGGCTCCAATTCCGCCACTAGGAGGCGCGGGGCCCCTCGAGAGGCGGGGCCTCAGGGGGGGGGAATGCGCGTGGGCGTGACGTCACTTCATGCGCCGCATTCTGTTGCCGGGCAGCCATGGAGGCTGCTCTGGAGTCCTCGGCGGAGGACCCATTGGGGAACTTTGTGCGAGTTTTGGAGAAGAGAGATGGCACGGCGTTACGACTGCAGCAGTATGGCTCCGGCGGCGTGGGCTGCGTGGTCTGGGACGCTGCCATTGTTCTTTCTAAATACCTGGAGACGCCCGGCTTCGCCGGCGACGGGGCCCACGCGTTGCGCCGGCGGTCGGTGCTGGAGCTGGGCGCCGGCACCGGGGCCGTGGGGCTCATGGCCGCGACCCTCGGGTAAGCGCTGGCGGGAGGGGCGCTTCTTGGTTTGGGAAACTGATTGCTGGCTTCCCACCGGGTGCCTACGTCTCAGTCGACGTTATTTTATAGGGCAGATGTTGTAGTCACCGATCTTGAGGAATTGCAAGACTTGCTGAAGATGAATATTAATATAAACAAGCATCTTGTCACTGGTTCTGTTCAAGCCAAGGTACTGAAATGGTTTGTATGGCCTTCCGGCTTGTTTTAATAACGATTTGTAGTTTGCTTTAAATTGCATTTTACTAAAAGCATGGCTAATAGAAAGGGGATCTTCCGGGTCTTGTTTTTCAAACAAGAATATTTTTAATTATTAAAGTAACAGTTAAAACATTTGGTTGGCATTTTTAAGGGGGGAAGAAATAGAAGACTTTCCTTCTCCGCCAGACTACATACTGATGGCCGACTGCATATACTACGAAGAGGTAAATATTCAGAGAGAAGTCTGTTTAGAAGATGTACCGTATTTCCTAGATTCTAGAGCACACATCTCTTCACATTTTAGGATATCTGAATTCAGGATATTTGTCCTATAGTTAATGACACAGTAAAGAGAAATTAAGGTCACCAGGGAATACTGATTATCATATAGGCCTGATTATCATATAGGCCTCTGAATCATGTTGAGAAAAGTGTTATGTACATTTTACTAGAGACTTCTGTAAAGTCTTAAAAGGATTTTGCCATTTGGATCTAAGATTATTATTTTTTGTTACTTAGCTCTTCCTAGTGAACATGTTAAGCAAGACACTGAGAATTAAATTGCATTGTAAGGAATTCATTGTTCTGTGGCAAGATTTATTAGACTCAGAATGATTTCTAAAAATTACCTATTTGTGCAAATTGTAGACATCACTCTTTTTTTTTTTTAAATAATGAACATTTAATCAACTTATGTTCAGGTTAAGTCAGACTTGCTTTTGTAGGTAAATTGTTGATTATTTAAATCCCAAGTTAAATAATTAAATTTTTAAGAGAAGTCAATTCCATTTGTTTTCCCATGGGATCTTGAAAATGCAATTATTTGAATCCTTCTTTTAGAAACTGAAGTCAATACATGGTTAAGAGGAGTTTACTAAAAAAAAAAAAAGTTTACTAATCATTAGTTAGAGTCTTAACTACTTGTACTTTGTTGGATTGATTCAAAGATGGGTAAATTGTAGGGGAGATAATAATTATTGCTCCACCTCCCTTACCCCCCTTTCACAGTAAAAATACAAAATTTTTTATAAACAAAAATTTTATTCTTTTTTGAACAGTCTTTGGAGCCGCTGTTGAAAACTCTAAAAGATCTCAGTGGATCTGAGACTTGTATTATATGTTGTTACGAACAGCGAACAATGGGGAAAAACCCAGAAATTGAGAAAAAATATTTTGAGGTGGGTACTGTACTACATCTATCTTTGTAGTGATTATCCTTCAGGGAACCTATGTATGACTGTGAGTAAGTATATTACGGTAATTTTGAGTCAGGAAAACATTCTGGTTGTAGGAACCCAAAGAGGATTCTTACCAGCCCATCATTCTTCTAAGCCCCCTCCACTTTTTTTTATCTTTTTTGATCCTTTATTTCTTTTTATTTTCTAATTAGTGATCTAATATATAAAAAACAATGTAAAATAATAGTAGTGATGCCCTTGTTTTTTCTGAGAAAGTTTATAATGTTTCCCTTATTTAAACATGCTGGCTTTGGGGAACATATTTACCTTATATTATTATATTATATTATATTATATTATATTATATTATATTATATTATTTTTATTATTATTATATTATATATATTGTGAATACATCATGGAAACCTGGTATGTTTTTAATTCTGTGTTTACCTCTACTTTTTTGTGAAAGCTTTAACCAACATAATCTTATGTTTGATTTTGTTTCGTTTTTTAACATAAAAACTCATGCTCAGTGGTTAGAACGTCGGCCCGTGAACAGGAGAGTTGCAGGTTCAATTCCAGTCAAGGGCACATACCTTGGTTGCAGGCTCGGATGCCCAACCTAGTCAGGGCGAGTGCAGGAAGCAACCAATTGATGTGTCTCACCCAAACATTTATTCATTTAATTATTTACTTTTTAATCCTCATCCGAGGATATGTCCATTGAATTTAGAGGTGGTGAGAGGGAAACATTCATGAGAGAGAAGCATCGGTTGATTACCTCTCATACATACCCTGACCGTGAATCAAACCCACAACTTAGGTATGTGCCCGGACCAGGAATCAAACCTTCAACCTTTTTGGTGTATAGGACAACACTCCAACCAATTAAGCCACTCAGCCGGGCCCAATCCCTTTTTATGCACAAAAATCCATCACATTACAAGTGACTTCTCTTGGTTCATACAGGGGTGGGCAAAAGTGAGTTTATAGTTGTTCATATGGAAAATAATACAATAATGAATAAATAATAATAGAAGAATAAACTCTGGCCCTGGCTGGTGTGGCTCAGGTGGTTGGGCGGTGTCCTGTGCACTGGAAGATTGCTGGTTCAATTCCCAGTCAGGACACAGACCAGGTTTCCGGCTCTATCCCTGGTAGCGGGTATATAGGAGGCAGCTGAATGATGTTTCTCTCCCTCTCCCTTCATCTCTCTCTGAAAATCAATTTTTTAAAAATCTATAAAAAAAAGAATAAACTGTTTTGCGTAATCACAGTTGTAAACCTACTTTTGCCCACCCCTGTATAAATAGCCCTGCAGTTTTATCCACTGAAAGGACTAATTTGGTTAAATGAGAAAACAAATATATGACTCTGCTTCAGATATATGTTGAAATGTTTTTACTTTTATGTGGGGTTTTTTAAATATATTTTTTTATTTCAGAGAGAAATGGAGAGGGAGAGATAGATAGAAACATCAAATGTTGAGAGAGAATCATCCTGACGGCGAATTGAACCCTGACCTCCTGGTTCATAGGTGGACATTCAACCACTGAGCCACCGCCCGGCTGGGCTATTTTTATGTTTTTCTTAAATGTGAGGAATGTTAATGAACTCTTGAAACTATCATTGAAAGTTTTGTATTGTTAAACAGTTCCAATTGAGTTAAAATATGTAAGATACATAAAATATGTAAAATGCTTTTGTAAATGGAATTACACTATGTGGCTTTCTGAGTCTGACTTCTGTCACTCAGGACAGTGTTTTTTAAGGTTCAGCTCAAGTGCTCAACTGAGTTTTTCATGTACATACACACAAGTAATCACTACCCAGCATAAGGACATGGAACATTTTCACAGCCTCAGAAGGCTCCCAGTGGCCCCTTCCCAGTCAGTACTCCACCATTCTGACTTCTCTCACCACAGGACAGTTCATACTATTGAATTTGAAGTATATCTCTTTTAAATTTATAGCTCCTTCAACTAGATTTTGACTTTGAAAAAATTCCTTTGGAAAAGCATGATGAAGAATATCGAAGTGAAGATATTCATATTTTATACTTCAGAAAGAAAAAATCGGTAAATACTGTACATTCCTGGCTCTTTATCCTCTGAGGAGGTTTGTTTAGCTGGACGCTGTCTCTCAGCTTATAGGTGGTGTGGATGTTGATTTTGATGTGGGGAAATAGTATGATGATTTACTGGACTCAGGCACTCACTCTCAAATATTAAGATCACTTTACCTGGCCTCAGGTTCTTCCTCTAAAATAAGGCAGGCTTCTTCTTTAAAGGTCCTGTCCAGCTGTAAATTATATTGCTTTAAAATCGGGCATTACCTCAGACAGGAAACTTAGCTATTTATAAGTTTCTGGTATCTTTTATTAGAGATTTTAAAATGCCAGCTCTGACCTTTGTGAACTTTATTCAACCATTCAGAATTTTTTAATAGTCAAAGTAAGACATAGCAACCCTTCCCTGGTGGTTTAGTGGCTAGGATTTGGCACTTTCACCACTGCAGCTCAGGTTTAATTCCTGGTCAGGAAAGTTATATGTCGAATCACTATGTTGTACACCTGAAACTAATATAATACTTATGTCATCTACACTTTAATAAAGAAAAAAATTTTTAAAGTAAAATATAACAAGACAGATCTGTCCGATAATGAGAAAATCACTGTTTTATGTATATTCCCCTTTTGCTGCTTCCTTTACTTCTTTCATGATGAAGTTTTCTGATTGTGTAAATTCTAGTCAAAAGCAAATAACTTGTATTTTTGAGATCAATATTAGATGTTAGGACTATAATGTAAGAGGATTGGTGGGATTAGTAATTCAAATCAACAAACTTACGTGGCACGATGCTGGAGATACAAAGATAAAAAATGGTTTATGCCTTAAGAAGAGTCCATTTTATTTTTTTTTAAATTTATTTATTAAGGTATTACATGTGTCCTTATTCCCATTTCCCGCCCCTCCAACCCTCCCATTCATGCCCTTATCCCCCTGTTGTCTGTGTCCATTGGTTAGGCTTATATGCATGCATACAAGTCCTTTGGTTTATCTCTCTCCCTTACCCCCATCCTCCCCTACCTTCCCTTAGGTTAGTTGAAGTTGTGTAGTTTTAAAAGTAGAATTTTTTTTGAGGCATAATGATTTTGTTTTCTAAATATAAAGGCTTTAATTTGGCAGAGAATAATTCCTTTTTAAGAAATTGATATAATTCATGTACCATAAAATTACCCTTTTACAGTGGTTTTTAGTATATTCACAGAGTTGCACAACCATCACCACTTTCTAATTTTTTTAAAATATATTTTTATTGATTTCAGAGAGAAGAGAGAAACATCAATGATGAGAGAGAATCATTGATGGGCTGCCTCCTGCATACCCCCTACTGGGGACGGAGCCCACAGCCCGGGCATGTGCCCTGACTGGGAATCAAACCGTGACCTCCTGGTTCACAGGTCGACACTCAACCACTGAGCCATGCCAGCCAGACACCACTTTCTAATTTTAAGCATTTTCATTACCCCAAAAAGAAATCCCTATTCGTTAGTGGTCACTTCCTGTTTCTGCCGTCCCCAGCACCTAATTTATGGTTACAAATCTACTTTCTGTCTCTGGATTTGCATATTCTGACCATTTCATATACGGGTATCCCTTGCTTTCAGAAAGTTCACGTTATGCCATTTTGCTTTTACAAAAGACCTATAATCGTATGGTAATGGCTTCTATAAAAGCGAACATTCTCTTTGGATTTCTTTTGCTTAGTGAAAATGACTACTAAGGTAGTCTTTCGTAAAAGTGAAGTGGCATAATGCAAAAGCAGGGTACTTTTCACTTTATTGCCATTTCAGCTCATAAAAGGTTTCATAGGAATGTGCAGGGGACACTAGTAAATGGAATCATACCCTATGTGGCTTCCTGGGTCTGACTTCTTTCACTCAGGATGATGTTTTTAAGGTTCACCTATATTGTAGCACACATCAGCACTTAACTCCCTTTTTATAGTTGAATAATATTTCTTTGTATGGACATACAATACCTTATCCATCTGTTCACCAGTTAAAAGGCCTTTTAGTATCTTTCACTTTTTGGCTCCAATGAATGTTGCTATGAATATGCATGTAAACATTTCTGTATGACATGTTTTCAAATCTCTTGGGTATGTTCCTCAAATAGAATTGCCAGGTCTTATGGGAACTCTGTTTAACTTTTTGGAATTGCCAAACTATTCCAATGCTACTAAAATGTTTTATGTTTCTACCGGCAATGTGTGAGGGTCCCAGTTCTCCACATCCTCACCAATATTGTCATTGTCCATCTTTTTTATTATAGCCATGTTAGTAGGTATGAAGAATTATAATTGTTGAATGTATCTGTTTTTTTCTTTGGTTACTTGTGCTTTAGGTATCAGCAAAGAATCATCTCTAAACATTATCCATGATGGTTCATTTGAATTGCATTTAGCCATTACTAGGCATATTACCTAGTATTAAGTACCCAGCAAATACTTATTTGTAATAATTCATTCTGTAAAGTTTCTGTTTTTGTTTTGTTTTTTCTTATAGAAATTTCCATCGTGAAATCTTTAGTTATCTTACCCAAGCCTCTAACAACCTGGGTAAGCTAAAGATGTGAATGGAGCATGGGAAGATTGTGTTCACAGATTTTTCCAGCATGTCTTTAGAGATCTGATATAGACAACCACCATCATGGACTGCCTGCAAAACAGAAAATGACTGCCGGTCTGCCAGTTAATGGGCCTGAAAACCAACTTAGTTTACTTTTAGCTCAGTATCAAGTTCTGCTTAAAAGAAACATTGTGTATTAGTCACTCCTCAAAAATAGGTATTGAGGTTAGCCTAAAGTCTGCCAAAAATAAACAGTGAAGCTTCATGGTTGACTTAGCTTCGGAAATAGATAAATTGATCCAGTTTCTAAAGAGAAATATATATTGCTATAATAAAGTTTAAATTCAAATCAGTAAATTTTAGTTTGTCTTCAAGATAGGTAAATTTAGAAGGTTTTCATTTTAACATAATTATGCAGTGGTTTTTATCATGTATCTTCCACTTTGTTGCTTTTAAGATAGCTTTACTACTTAAATGTTCTTTCACGTTAAAAAAAAGCCCCAAAATATTTTGTATAGTTACATTGGCCAATGTTTTATTCTGTTCCTCCACCATACATGACTACATGAGGTAGTAAATTATACTGTAGTGAGTTAGTAAGAATGAAAGTTAAGAAATCATGAGATTAGAAGGGGGGTTGGAATGAAAATAGAAAGCCCATTTTCAGGCTGGTTGACTTTTCTCATATATATCTTCCAGGAAAAAGTGGCTAAAAATCACTGATGTTTACTTGTTTACACAAAACAGACATTTTTAAATAACTGCAAATGTAATTCTGTATACATTTAGCAAATGGTTTTGATTCTGTGTAGTCTTTTTATGTTATGATAATCATCTGCTCGCAGACTGGTCTGTCAAGAACTTAAGTCTCGCCAGTTATAAAGAATAATGATAAACTATAGAATTCTGGTACTTACAGGCATTGGTGCTAGGTGGCACATTTTGTGTATTAAAATATTCTTGCCCTGGCCGATTTTGTTCAGTGGTTAGAGTGTCGGTCCACAGACTGCAGGGTTGTGGGTTCAATTCCCAGTCAAGGACACATACTTCCCCAGCCCCAGTAGGAGGCAACCAATCAATGTGTCTCTCATGTCGATGTTTTTCTCTCCTCCTCCTACCTCCCTTCCACTCTCTTTGAAATCAATGGAAAAAATATCCTCAGTTGAGGATTAAAAAAAATAATAAAAATAAAATAATTATTCTTTCTGAGATCCTGTGATTTTTTTTTTTCATGCTTCAGAAATGGCTTTGAAGAAAATGAACATCTAAAGCAGATAACTGCTTTCCAGAAAGACAAAAGCAGCCCTCTGTAGAGAAATTAAGGATTAATATCACGAGAACAGTTTTTCCTTCAGGCTTACTTTAGTCTTTAGTTTGTTTTACTGTTCTTTTTCGAATACTTTGTTCATCCTGCCCTTAGCATTTTATTAAGCAGTTAGATAACCTAAATATGTGATACTTTGTTGCAGAGAGCACCAGTTATTAGTGAAGTCTTAGGACTAATGACCACTTTCTAGCTTGTTCCATAACATTATGGAACTTGTAAAACTAAGTTTGATATTGACCAGCTGTAGTAGGGCTCCAGATTCCTCAGATCCTTTTTCACCCTCCTCTCCTTTTCATTATACTCAGGATATAAGGTCTACCTGTGGGTCTTTGGCCTAAAGTGCCCCTTGACATTCCTATATAAAAGCCCAGCTCCTTTAACTCAGACAGGTGTACCTTACACTCCAAAACTTCCTGGAGGAGTCAGGCTGAAGTCGACCTCTATTCAGCTTGGCCAGAATCACTTGTGTGTTCTTCCTCCCCTTCCCATCCTATTCCCAGTCATTTACTTAACATCTTAAGTCGTTTGCATACATCCATCACTGTTTCTGGGGAACTGACCTAAGTGTCTAACTGTAGAGTTAGAGTAATTTGTAACAAAGTCAAGTGGGATTTTTCCCTATTCTGGAATAAGGCCAAAGTGGAAGTTAAAAGTTACCAGGTCCCCACGTTCTACAATCAGAGAACTACCAGTGGTTAGGACCAGTGAGCACTGCAGGGCTTACTGAAAGGTGCCAGTTCATACAACATGCCCTCCCTAATCACCGCCCCCACACGGCCAGGGAGCCTGGGGTTCTTTTGGAGGAGTGCATTGTAGAGGAATGGGATTTCGTCCTTTGGGCTCTGTCCTGAGGGAGGAAATGGGGCATCTGCACTTAGAAACCGTGGGAGGAAGGCCTGAGAGAATAATTCACGATTTGGGATGCCTCCAAGAAGGGCAGACCAGCATTTTTACCACCTGGTTGGATGTGTTTACCCAGCAGATCTGCACATTTGTTTTATCCAGAGCCCAGGAATGGAATTGGAGAGGTAATGGGACTGTCGGGCAGAGTTATCGGAGATGGATCCTGCCAGCCTGAGAGGGATAGTGAATTGGGGGCTAGAGAACTTGTGCAGCAATTTGACGAGGTTGAAAGGCAGGTGCAACAGGTGAGTGAGGTGTGATGCCAGTTGGCTGAATATAGCAAATAGATCTCAAAGAATAGCCAGTGCTGGGTGGAGCTGCTCAGGAGTGAGCCTCTGGCCCTTCACACTAGTGGGGGTTGCACTGTGCACCATGAAATCCCTAGGGCACTTATCCAGAACACGGTTATAGCCCATTAAGGAGCCCCCACGATAAGACAGTTTCTCAAACTAAGCTACACATGGGATCACCTTGAAAATTAAAAGCCATGTTCAGGCCCCATCTGAGTCCAATCATATCAGAGGCATGGTATTTTTGTTAAAGGGCTCCAGATGGTTTTAGTGGATAGCCTAACGTGAGGGCTGCTGCTATACGGAAACAGCATCTGCTTCCCAAAAAGAAGAGCAAAGGGAGGAGAAATAAAAACAAACTGTTCGTGGTTAGAGTGTACCTGTGCTGAA